GATATTTTATTATTGAGGTTTTTAGTCGTTTCTTTTATTGTTAAATTTCCTGTATTTGGTTTTCATTATTGGCTACCTGTTGCCTATGTTGAAACTTCTACTATAGATTCTATTATTTTAGCTAGAGTTTTATTAAAAATAGGTGGTATTGGTGCTTTATATATAGTAAAATATGTTAATTATATGTTTTTTATAAGTTGATTGTCTTTAGGTATTTTAATAAGAATGTTAGTTATTTTGATGGTTGAATTTTAATTTAGTTTTTAATTTAGTATTTCTGTAGGACAGGATTTAAAATTAAGTAATCTAAGTAATTTAAGTGTAGTTCTTAGTTTAGTTTTAATTTTATTTTTAGATTATTTTAGATTAGAAATTATATGTTGTGAGGATGAGGGTATAGATTTTCTAAAAATGACATTTTTATATGTGGGAGGGAGTAATATTTTTTTTAATTGGAATTTTATTTTTTGTGTTTTTTAATAGTTAATAGTTGTGTTTTAGTTTTTAATTTAAAAGTTGGGGTTTTATTTGGCCTTGATATTGAGTTTTTACTAGATTTATGAAGACTTAGATTTTCTTTGTTGGTTTGAATAGTTAGCACATAAAACATAAAGCATTTATAACTTTACCCAACATATAATAAGGCCATTCAACTATGCAACTACCCAATCAAGTTAATATTAAAAAAACAACAAAAAATAACACACAAATAAACAACCTAAAACTATCATTAAATTTAAATTGCTTATTTCTTCTAAAAGGAATTAATATTAAAATCACAATTCTTATAGCTAAACCAACCACTCCCAATAACTTATCAGGTGCTCTTCGCCTCGATGAGTTCTATCGAACAATGTGGATATAAGCATTGGACCAAGTCTTGGAATGAACCTGTAAAATGTTTACTGGAAAATCGTAATTTTTCTTATTGAAAAAGGCAGTTTTTTAATTTTTTTTTCTCATAAACCATTGTTTGTTCGGAGGAAGGAAATACAGCGTTTTGTAGAGCTTGTCGAGCTCTATCTGGACCAACTCTTCTCCAGTTTGGACCAAGTTTGGAAATGAATCTGGATTGAAAATATTCGAATCTGGTGCTAACTTTACCTACGTACGTCCAGAAATTGAAAAATAATCAATTTCAACCACATTCATATAATATTCATAAACGCCGATCATTAGTGAAGCGAATGCTGGTGACATCTACAGATGGAGATATAATTTCAGTCCCCGGTCCATTTTTGAGTGATTCGAAAAATAACGACGCATCAATAATTAGGCACAGTATGTTCAAAGCTGCGACCTAAGAACGAAGTTCTTAATGTAAGCAGGAATGGGTAAAAGTTTTTTACCCATTCGTGCTTGACTATAACTAGGACATTTTCTACACAATTTTTTTTAGTAAAAATTGTGTAGAAAGTGTCCTAGTTATTCCAAGTCCATCACTTAGTAAAGTAAATTCCAGTGGTAGAAACAAAAAGCTTTTATTGAAACTCAACAGATTTATTTCGCATTTATATTTTTTGAAGTTATGTTCTAGTACCATCAATTTTAAATGTCCTTCTAGCAATTCTTGATGATTAAATACATTTGTTCGCATTAGACATAAATTGGTTAAAACTCTGCGCTTGTCTCAACAATATTCTTAAGTTGTAAGTTAGACGTACCGTTAAGTTAGGTGCTACTATCCAGAAAATTTAAGTAGTAGTTTATTAACTTAAAAGTAGCTGTTTCGTTATCGGCAGTAGTACTCAATATAAGCATGGATCTAAGTCAATAGTGAACTATCTATGCCTTTTATTGCAGAACATGCTTTTTGACTTGTAATGCACATATACCGTTTTTAATGGAATTTTGGCAAGATTTTTTGGATATAACTAAGGAAACCCGTGAGTCATCGCGATGAGACATCGTCGAAGTATAAATTTTTGGAAGTTATACAACTTCATAAGTGTATAAATCACCTCTTGTCTACTGACAATCTATTAGCAATTCTTCTGTCTGGCTCATCCTACGCTTAGGAAGTACTGCTGGTGAGGTGAGAATTGAGGGAATTAATACGAAAGTAATGAGGACTTTCTTTGTGATGAAAAACCATAACGTTTTGACAAAATACTGCATGAAATTTTGTTAGGGATATTATGAGCATATTTCATATCTTTTTCAAACTTTGTCATAAATCTATGAAGTCTGGCAGAATTTTTTTGAGTTACTACAGATGTAGAGTACATGTTTCTCTGCAGAATAGGGTGCTCGCGAGCTCTGTATGAATTTTGCTTGTAATTCTGTACTCATTCAGCAACAAATTCCCAACTGAGTTCCGGTTCGATGGAAGTCAGTCACTATCAAAACAAATAGAAGAATGGTCAGAGCTGTCGAATTGTCATTTTATAGGAAAATGTTTAGTCTATATTTCGGTATATTCGAAAAAAATTGTTTCCTTCTTCGTTCGAATTATGTACTTTTCCCTAAAGGTCGTAATAGCCCGTAAAACTGTATGGTTGAATTATATATTAATTATTATTTTATGCATCAGTTGTGAAGAAACAATGACATTTATGCGTTATTTCAGAAAATTTTTTACTTCTGCAAAATAACACACGAAAAATTCATGGTGGAATGCTACTTGATCAGCGCAAATTTTACTATAAATTTTGGCAAAACAATGGATCATAATTTTTTCAATTTTTGTCAATTAACTTCTCATGAAATTTTGACATGGGTATTTACTCTTAGTTAAACCGACAATTAGCTAAGTAACTGCTGCTTAAGAGTATTGATGAAACGAACTCCAGTTTCCTTCATGTCTTAAAGATGGCAAGTGGAGAGTTCTCGATGTGCACGGTCACTAGCGCATATTTAAAGTGAATTTATCTAAACTGTACGTACATGCTTTATACAGCCGCGTTTAATTTCGACGCGGTTAAGATACGTTAGGAGCAAAACGTGAAATTACCTTGCCTTTAATGTGCGCCCACTGTTTGTATCTAGTGTATGTGGTCAGTATATCCGCGAACCTTTCGACGTATAGTTAAAGTTGAGAATATGGATCAAGATAATTACGTCGACACTGGCGCTCAGTGAAAAGAATTTTAATGGAAAGTTTATCTTGACTGAGGAGGGCCAAGATACACCACGACTGAAGTTACACCTAAGTTGCTCATCATGGGTTTACGTTGATTGCAACAACTGAGATCTAGCTTTTAATCCAAGCGTACCTTGACCTACGAGGAATCGTGTTTTGCCATTCATTGAGTATTATTGTTTGAAAAGATTAACCAATCTTATTTACCGTGCTTGACGTAAGTTTGTTGTGCACTTTAAGGAAGGACATTCATGGAAGCACATATTTCGCTTGATTTGTGACGGAAAGAGTTCTTCCGTGCACATATTTATATACATAAATTTGACAATCAACATGGTTAATGTTTATGAAAAAAGATGGGTGTACGAACAAGTTTTTTGGTTGGGTTACAAGAAAAGTGCATAGTTAGGCATCGTTTGAGCATACACCTAGCGTCTGCTTTAATTCTTATTGGTCTATTTCTTTTGTTCTGTATCTATTATCTAATGAAAAAGTAAAGAACGAAAGAAAAGGGGGCGGATAGATATTTGCACGTTCACATCTAACGTATATATATAATATATCCTGATGTGATGTGACCCATTTTTTTCATTTCTTCTGATCTAATTAGTATAGACTGTTCTATTAGGACTTTCAGAAGATGTCGAACGTAATCTCACTTAGCTATAACGCAAAATTGTTAGTCAAAAAACGGAGTTTGTAGCATTTATACCAGTACTATGGCTTTTTAGCGCCTCTACTATAAACAGACACTTTTTTAAGTATCTACGTTAGAGAACACAACAGGAAAAGTTTTCTTTGTACAGTTAAAACATTTCAATCTATTTCATTCTTTAGTTGCTCCCTATTCGTTAATTATTGCACAAAGTGGTACATTGGTATTTAAATTATCAATGTTCATAGCAGATCGCATGTCATCTATATAGTTTAGATCAAAAATAAACAACTGGATGAGATAAACAAAGTCACACATGTAACTTTAAACTATCTCCAGTTTATACATCACTGAGTGATTTTGATTATAGAGTATAAAGTTCGTTCTTAATGCGTGGATTAACCACTGCAATAAATTTGTTTTGTTGAAGAAAAAACATATCGCGTAGTTATTTACCATGTAGCTGGACTTTAATTTTATTGATTTCAAAATCGACTTTAATTTACTCTTTATTTAGTGTGACATTGTTTTAGTAAATATGAATTTTATTTCTAACTTTACACGATCAAAATTAAGAAATAGCGAGACAGAAAAAAAGGCGTTTGACGAGAATATTTACTCGGCTTATTGCCACAAGCTTTGTTGTTTTTACTCTAAATGTGTAAGGTGCCAAGAAGTTCTTCAAATAGTTAAAGAAAATTAAGACACTGAACATTAAAAGAATCCGTGTAACAAAGCCTAGCTGCTAGTTAAGTGAGATTCGATTGCGAAGCGCAGTTACTGAATTAGATGTATTCAAGTGCTCGATTCTTAGTGCTTGTTGTCTATGCTAGCCTTTTAGTTTGTTAATTTATTTCATTTGTTTTGAAATTAATAAATATCCTTGAAACACTGAATGTGTGTCTGGATCCATATCTGTGATTCTTTTTGCAAAAAAACTAGACTTCACTCTATTTTAGAAGAGCACGCTCACAATGTCAGTGAGCAAATTTAAAGATCCGATATAAATGGACATTAGTTTTAGCTTTGCATTGTAGTAATGAAAACGATTCAAATAAACATGTTATTCAATTATTTTAGCTCACTTCTCGAATTGTTATCCTTCCAAAATCTATACATATGTCCGGTGTGAACGTTACTGTTTATTTAATATTTAATCAATGTTTCATTTATTATTCCAACTCGATTCTGTTAAAGTTTTATTAAGTTTTTGTTGATTTACAATTGTGCATTAGTTTCTGTGCCCCGTATTATATCGCGCTAATGTCATATCCAAGTGGTCAGATTTATACTGTTTATAATCCAACATCTTCTATTCCAATGTCTTCTAATATCATAACACAACAATCCTCACCAACAGTAATAGCTCAACAACAAATACAACAGACAAATCATCTTTCATTTAATCAACCATCTAACATTGCACACTATTATCAACCGACATCACAAACGCAAACATATCTCTCACAACAGCCAACAAATAGTAATCTCTTATCAAATATACAACAGCCCCAAGTAAGAGTATGTCGTCCGTCATTTTCGGGTCTTCAAATAGTTAATAGTTCAACATCGTCTACCTTTCCAATGTTGTCAAATGTGAATATAAATCCAAATTCATCAAGAAACAATCAGCTATGGAGAGTATCAAATCCGCAAACAACATCACAAAGTCAATTATCAATAACAACAACACCAACAACTGTAACACATCCTCAAAATAAAATTATTTACATCAGTACACTACCATCTTCCCAATCATCGAATAATATTCATACGACGAATATTTTGCAACCAGTTAAAATCATTTCATCACCACCCAACCAGATTATTTCAACTGTCAGAACTGTTAACATTCTAAATCAAACTAATAATAGTATCCAACAACAATCAACACCAACATTTACAGCAGTGTCAAGTCCGTCACCATTATCCAGTAAGAAGCGATGATTCTATTGTTCATGTATTGTCTCAGAACCATCTATTTTTCAGATGTATTAACGTCATTTTCGTCATCAAAATTAGGACAATGTATAACACCAACGCCTGTTGTCACCGGAAATGTGGGAGCGTTAACAATCCAACAGACGCTTCATTCTACGCAGCAGCAATACACCAACATGCAAAGGGTCCATTCAGGTAAGTTAAGGCTGTTTTTAACTCGATCTCACAACAGGCGTAACCTCTATTCATTACAGTGAACAACTCCGAACATGTAATGAATTCGAAACCAGTAAACAGTCCAACTGAAATGGAGGAGGAGGAAGAAGAAGATGAGGACAGCGGCGATGAAAGCGATCTTGAACAAGATACCGATGCTGGAGATATGATAGTAACAACATTAAACCAACAGCAAACAGAAACTAAAAATACACAAGTAAGATACACTTTTCTATGTTTTCGAAAGGAAGGACAAACAATAAGATACAATTTAGACGGAACGTACGACATCAGAAGTAACAATAGAATACCACACTCTTTTGTAGAGAATTGTCTCAGCTGCACTCCTTTGTACTATAGAAAACAATGAAGCTAGCTGCGGATAGGGGTCATAAACTTTCGATTTATCTACGATTGAAAAGCATAGGTCATTGGATTCTCTATACGTTTTATTTTTATGTTATTTTAGCTTGGACATTCAGCTTCAATAGTTGATGATCCAAATGTTGATGACGTACAGCAAGATCAAGAAATAGAATTAATTGTCAATAATGTTGTTAGTTCATTTTCACTTGGATGCAAAATACAACTTCGAAAAGTGGCTATGGAAGGAGCACATGTCGAATATAAGCGTGACAATGCGGTAAGAAGAAGAAGATTAATTTTTTTCTTCTTCTTCCTTGTTGGCTCTTTTTTCCACGTCAAAAACACAAAAGAAAAAGATCAAACTTATTCGTTTCCATCTAGATGGTTATGATGAAAATACGGAAACCATACTGTTCAGCCAATATATGGGCATCGGGCAAAGTGACAGTGACCGGCTCTACAAGGTTTGTATATGTTTTCAAATCACATTCCTTCTAGTTATAATGAAATTTATTTTTTTATTGTAGCGAAGACGATGCTTTACGTGGTGCCAGACGAATAGCACGAACAATACAACGATTGGGTTTCAAAGCAAAGTTTTGTAATTATCGTGTTGTTAATGTACTAGCAACATGTATAATGCCATTTAATATTGATATAGTAAAATTAAGTCATGATAATTCACTTTGTGTCAGGTACAAGAAACATACATTCTTTTTTTGAAAATGTCTATAGTTTAAAGACATATTAGCTGCTATTCACCAATTGTTTTGGACTAGATTTGCTATCTTATCTAATCTTTCGAAGACGGTGATAATATTATGGTTGTTTAAAAGATACTCCAGTGTCAAAAGTTTCTTTTTTCAGTTATGAACCGGAAATTCATCCCGGCGCAACAGTCAGATTAAAAGAGTTTAGTTCTACAATGAAAGTGTTTACAACTGGTAGTATTACACTAACAGGTAAATAATTTTCATAAATATGATTTGTGAAATACATATTTTAAACAAAAAATTTTCTTTTTTTCTGTCTTAGCTCCATCAGTTGACAACGTTAATTTTGCTTTAAATGCGTTTTATCCACGCTTATACGAATGTCGAAAACGATCGCTTGCATCAAGATCAATGGATCGTCGAAATCAACATCATTGAAATGTTCTTACTTGTGACTTACTTTCATTTTTTCTTTTTCTTGCAAGCAATGTAGGAAATTTTTTTAATTATACTTGTAAGAAATAAGCAATGAACAAAATCTCTATTTGTTTTTGATTTTCTACCAAAATATGTAGAAACAACGAATATCTTTCAATATATATTTATTTATGTGTTAGACAACATACGGGAAAAGCGATTCTAAACAGTTGTTTATTATGCACATAATCCAGTGATTTTTTATCCATCAACGTTATTTGCTTCCCTCCGCATTTAAACGTTTCTCTTGTTGTTGATGGTTTAAATTTTCTTTTTTTTTCTTTTGTGCAGTTTAAAAATAGTAGTCTATATCTTGGGATTCGTTGTTTTCTAGAGTACTGGCTCCAAAACTTTCTTTTATGTTTCTCAGAATATTCTAATATGGGTTGTTTGTTACTTCTTCGATCTGTCAACAAAAAAAAAAGTCACATGTATGTTTTTCACAATATGTTTGAAACTATTTCTCTTGTGTACATAAAAAAAGCAACAACACCATGCGTTAATATTTCTATAGAGAAAGAACTAACATATTCAAGTGTGCAGTTTGTTTTTCGTGTTTTCCTTGTTCTTGTCATTATATTGTGTTTTGTTGTCCTTCTCTTTTTTGTGCTGTGTATTTGTGTTTTTTTCTTCTCAAAATTATATATATATATCTGTCTATCTATATACCACACACTTTGTCTATATTAAAGAAAAATCGAAAATCATAAAAAAAGTTTATTTAAGAAAAATGGAATTTGATCTATATTTTCTTTTTCTTCATTTGAAGAACAACGACATTGGATGTCTGAGAAATGCACACAATAGATTGAGAATTTTGGTCGTATAACGAGATGTCAATCTATCGTGTTTAAGAAAATTATGAGTAATATGATTGCAGTAAAGAGGAGATTAATTTGTTGAATGCTTCCTCAAATTAGATGATTTGATACTATTGTTTCAAAATATCTACATTTATTTTATAGATATTTTCAAACGTAATGGTATCTACGTTTAGTAATAGTGCACGACTGTTTCGTTGTTTATTCAGTTCTGAATTTCGACAATGTTCGTATTTGGCAACAATAACAACGTCTCAAATAAGAAATTATGATCCAACATTAGGAGGTATATTTTGTTGTTTGATTATTAAAGAATTATCGACTGTTTTTTAGTTTGATTTTGTAGGTATCATATTTTCTAATTTTACTTTATCAACTAATAAGTCAGTTAATTATCCAAACGATACATTTAAAAGAAATAACATATTACCAAGAATTCTACCATCATTACCAACGACTAATTATACATTGCCAGCGTCTTCTTCTTTACGTGACGCTATATTAGATATGAATATATTGAATTATTATGATTGTCCATCATCTAAAACTGATTTGTTAATAAAATGTGCATGGACAACAACAGATTATCGTTATAAACGACAACGTCGTGTTCGACGACATCCATCAAAATTAATAAATGCAATGAAATATCGTGCACGACGAATGCGTTTACATCATAAAAAAAAATGGTTAAAAAAACATAAATATGCTTTATTAAAACGTTTAAGAGAAAAGATAAAACGTCGTGGTAAATTATTTGAAATGGAAAATGCCATTATTCTCGGTAAAGCAGAACAATTTAATCCCGAATTATATGTTAAACGTGAATTAGAAAAGGCAAAATTTTATGGCTATCGGGTATCACCAGTATACGATGAATTAAGAGAAAAAATTAACAATATCAAAATTGAAAATTGAAGTTATTTTTTCTGTGTTAGCTTTAGTTTTGTGTTTTTTGTATGTCGACTTAACGTTATTCTTCGTTATAAATATTTTCTATTTAATTATTTTTAATTTATGCGCAGTGCGAAGTCGTCTGTTTTGATTTTCGACGTTTATACTCTTTATCACTGTAAAACGGTAACTGACTAGCGAAAGCAATCCATATCTAAAAGGTATATGGGATTTGGCCTCGTTTTTTTTTTGTTCGCTCTATCCATCATACTTGAAGAGCACTATTCTATGTAATAGTGATGAAGTCGGTGAATCATTTTTTATTTAAACAATCGTAGTTTCTATTCACCATTCCTCGAGATTTCACAATATTTTTGTCATGTACTGCAAGTAGCTTGATGTATAATAAGAAAACGTTCAAGCGCAGAAGCATCAAATGCTGTGAAGGACTGACAAGTGCTATATGGAACAAGTGCTTTTTGGCTCTTTGAAAACACACTCTTGTTGGTCTCGTTCCTATTTGGAGTTTTTTTTTCTAGAAGTTGTTGTATGGTGAGTAATAATTGTAGCATCTTAATTTAGTTTAGCTTTCCGGTGGGACTTCATATTAATGTCTCTCATTTGAGACATTCTCATTTAAGTGCATCTTATTTTAGCGTGTATTATTTTCATGCGTTTACAATTACATCACTCATTCTTGAAAATATTTTGAAAATTTTGAACAGTTTCTGTCACCACTGTTTGTTATTAATTCTTAGTGACTACTAATCTTTTATAACAGTTTTATCATTATTTTTCAAACATCTGGTTAAATGGACAGTATGATATTGAAGTATGGATTGTTTTTGGTCAAGATAGACGAACAAATAATTATATTGAATCATGGTATTCTAAACTGTTACGTTTACTACAAACATAACCGACTGTATGGTGATTGATTGAAACACCTCAAGCACATGGTTATTTAGTTCAATATGATATTGAATGTTTACGTGCTGGGACAGGAGACAGGTCGAAAAAAATCAAAATATCCAAGACTCAACAGAACGGTACAATATATAACAGATGATTTTAATCTAGATCTAGTCTAATGCAACCGTTAGATTATGTTTTGACAGTGGGAAGATATTTTGCTACTGCTAAACGTGCTTACCACTTCCTCTTCTTAAAATGAAATTGTATTGTCAAAATAATGCTCATAACCTTTTTGAAATTAAAATAAAAGATTGCTAGCCACTAAGAATTAATAACAAACAGTGGTGATAGAAACGGTCAGATACACTTAATTGAGAATGCGCTCAAATGAGATGACCTTATATGCCACCCTTCCTTTTTTGTCAGTTGCAACGCGAGATTTAGTAATATATAGTTTTTTATCTTTCTTAAATCGATTGTAGAAGAAATAACCTTCAGAAGTCTTTTGTCCTTAATTATTTTGTCTATCAATTCTTGGTTTTTATGAAACAGCTAGTTTAAAATGTATCATATTCTTGATTGTTTTTTAATGTTTTTGTCTCGGACAAAATTCATTGAACAAGCATGATATATAATTATTCTAAAGTAGATGAACTTTGAGATGAAAAATTGCTATAGGTGTGTCTATTTTTGATGACACTGTTTGGTTGATGTTCAATTGAACATTTACTTTTTATTTTTTTTTAATATTAACCAGCAGAAACGACTGACACGTGTAAAATAAAGGTATTTTACTTTCCTTTTCCTTCTTTTATTGCCTGATGAAAATATTTTTCTTTCTTTCCCGAAAAAAATCCAATCAAATGCATGTAAATAATTGTCTGTCTCTTCACCTTTTTAAAGAACTACGTATAGTCACGCTACACTGGTTTTGTGTTTGAAACGAAAACGAACATACAAGTTCACCTTCAATGTATAACTCTCGCTATTTATTATTATTATTGTTATTATGATTACGATTATTTTCAACATAAATATGATAATGACTAATAGAAACAGTCACAGTGAGTGCTAAAATCCCCTCAGTTTCCTGTATGCGCACGTTTCAACTAGGAAAAAAAAATAAGAATAATGTCTCACCAGCAACATCAACATTTTTTCTCAACGCCTTCATCATTACCTTTCGTTAACGATAAGAATAATACGCAAAGCAATAACAACCATAATAGTGATGAAGATTTATTTCACGACGAAATTCAACGATATGACGCAGATACAATAAAACAACGTTATGGCGAACAATGGAAAACATATGCATCAAATGTACGTGAAATAAGACAAGCAGACGGATCAATTCTCAAAGAGTATATCATTGAAGATCCAAGTTTATTAGAACAAATACAAGAACAACAAACAAATCGAACAATTAATCAATCATCGACAACATCCTCTGAAGAGGATGATGAGAATGAAAATCATTCATTAAAAAATAAATTTCAACAAATAAAAGCAAAATTTGAACAAAAAGCATCAGTTATGGCATCACCATCGGCTACTTCTTCCGCGACAAATAGTTCACGTCAACAAAAAGTAGACGAATTATATTCAAAACATAATCAACAGCCACAACGACAACAATCAAATGAGTCTGTATTTACCAATGAAAGCCGACGAGATTCATCATCGGCAATGACGAGTAATAATAATACGCCTAGAGGCGTACATCAACCACAGCAGGAAAAACGATATAATTTAAATTCAATAACAGATCGATCACAATCAACCACTTCTTCTGATAAATCAAAAACGAGTACGTTAAGAAGATTTGATTCGGCCGATGAAGCGGATGAAGAAGTTCAACGAATACATAGACAAGGTAGTTATTCGAATTTAAAGACAAAAAGTGTTTTAAATATTTCTATTTTATGTAGGAGAAGAATTACGCCGTTTACAACAAGATAAACCACAGTCGAATGTTCAATATGAAATATTGGATGAGAATGGTGAACCATTGATGGTGGACGGCGTTCAAGATTTGATAAAAATGGCAGCTCGAGCAAAAGAAATTAGACAACCTGATGGTACGATTGTCAAAGAATATGTTATAGATGATCCTGCATTGTTGTCGAAGATTCGTGCATCTCAGCCTGGTGGGGCAGCAACTCCATCCAAACAAGTTTCGAATTCATTTTCTCATGATACGAGTCAACTGCCGCCGCCTCCACCACCACCTCGAGTTCCTTTGCGTCAACCATTGAGTCGACCAATATTTAGTGATCAGTATTCAGCAGGAACTCCAACGAATATTCCTATTAATATTAATCATATACGCACCTTAGAACCAAATCGTCGTTATGAATTTACTACATCATCAGGAAAAACTATACAATTTCACATTTCGAATTTTAATGAAAACGCTTATACTGATAATGACATACGTGAATTAACACATACGATAAATAATCGTTTTGCAATTCAACCACAACAGAATTCATCAATCCCACCAGCCCTCTATACATTACCGAAGCAATGGAATCCTTCTGTGGATTTAACTCATCGCCCGCCAATACAACAACAGCAACAACAACAACAGCAACAACAACAACAGCAACAACAACAACAACAGCAACAAAATCCATCATCGTCTCGAGTTCGCTTAGGATCAGATGGAAATGCTGTATCACAAATGCCTTCTTATAACGTTGGTTTTAATCCTTTTTCCTCAGCCGATCAAGCGATGCCTAGTAATCTTATTCGATCAACATCACATGGCGCAATAAATCAAATTAATTATTTACCACGTGGCTATGTATCAGGAAATTCCATTCCTTCATTTGAACAGCCACAACAACATCCTCCTATGTTTCCACCTGTTATTGCTCAACCTGTAATTGACTGGAGTACAATTAAACAACAAGCGTATCCAGGGCAAATAACAACTATTGATCCAGCTATTTTACAACAAGTTTTACAACAACAGCAACACTATCAACAAGTACCAATATCAAAAGAAGGAGAAAACAACGTTCATTCTTATCAGCCTCGACAGAGTCCATCAGGTTTTCAGTCACAAGCACAATTTTTGCCTCAACAACAACAGCAACAACAACAGCATCAGCAGCAACAACAACAACAACAGTTGATTCTTAATGGTACAAACTATCCATCTCAAACGTCAACTGCTCCAATTTATTATCAAGTTCAACCACAGCAACAGTCAGCTCAATCATATCCTTTCAGTGGTGGACAACAACAACATGGCGTTCGAATTTTAGGTCCTGATCTGTCCAATATTGATACTTTACAATTGCAACAGCAACAACCATTGTTAACAAGGCCAAACATTTACACAAACGGGCATGCTAGAATCTAATAGAGAAAACTCATTTTTTTACATCGTACTATGTAAATAGCTAAAGAAATGAAATTATTGTTATTCACAAATAATGTTTCCATAAAGATTGTTTTTCCTGTATATGTGAGATTTTATTCGTTTTTTTGTAAAGAAATGCTATGTGTAGTAAACCAATAACTCTCAACTTATAATGCATAGAAAACCGACAACGAGGCGAAAAATACTTCAGACTTGATAAAATTGAATCTGTTACATTAAACAAATACTTCAAGGAGCATAATGTATGTTTAACAGATAGAATAAATTCTTCTTTTGTTGTGCAATAATAAATCGTACAGAGAGCACTATATTGTCTGTTATATAAACAGGAAATTATTGTTTAGCACATCACAGTCAAAGCCTATTGAGGATGTTGTTTCAAAGTTTTTCGTCAGTGAAGTTTATACGCTAAACTTGTATCAGTGGATATATTATTCTAATATCTTGTTTTGTAGATAAAAACCAACAATGAATGTAGCTGAAGATATCTGGATACAGTTGTTATTCTCGCCATCAGTAACTGAAAAATTATCATCAATAAAATATGTTGAGAATGGTAATAAAAACTTTTTAAATATACGTATACAGACATCAACATCGTTGTATTTTATTTTCTTCTAGAGTGGTTAAATAAACTCACTCATTTAGTCATCTCTGGGTCGTACGAACAGTTTCTATCAGAAACGGATATTCAAAATGTATTAAAAACTAATAGTCTACATTTGAGCATAAATTTGAATACGATAAGTAACATTCAACAAGAAATAAGTATAATTTCAACCATTGATGAGTAAGCAAAATGAATCATTATTTAGCTTAAGAATGTAATATTTATTTTTATATTTATTTTTTTAGTGCCCGTCTTTTAGTTACATTGATTGGTATTGTTTGTTTACAACTGTTTATCATCCATAATTTTGTTGGTCCAAAAACCACATCTTTGCAGAGTATCATCAATTTTCAAACAATAAATGAGGTTTATTTAAATTAGATTTAATTACATAAATCAAATAATAAAACATGTTTACATTTAGCTCAATAATGAAATTGTATCATTTTTAACAAGTGATGGTGAACAACCAATATGTACTGTAGAACATCTCGATTATTTATTTATTGCCAAACAAATATTTAACAATGCTCAAGATAATACAGTACATTGGGTAAAGAAAAAGGGAAATTGTTTTTGACTATTTTATTATAAAAAAATTAATATGTTTTAGACACACAAATGGTGGATAATGCGCACATGGTGGATTAACCAGAAGATATTACAAGAACGTTCAAAAACATTATATGACAATATTCAAGCATGCATAAATATGTGTGAGTAAAAAGAAAATCTTTAAACTTTGGTTGTCTACCGTTGAATAATCTTGTCACTAGACCTTATAAAACAGCCATTTTCTTTTTTGTTTAGTGCAGGATCACGAACAAGACATGGAGAGGTAAGATGCTGAACAATAGAGCTAAGTTTCTCCAAGATATGTAAAAATTAATTGTTTCATATTTTTGTCTAGCCAACAACATCGTCAATTCTTGAGTATAGAAATAACATATATATCTCAATATTATTATAATTGGTCTCAGGCAGAAAGGTATAAAAATCGAACAGTTCAAATAAGTGGCCTACAAATTAGTTTATCAGGTATAGCTTTGTTATTCACAAGGAAAAGAAAATGATAAGCTATTTTTGTGTTTACATTCCATATAGGCCAACTTGGAAAACGAACACGTTATCAAGTCAAGGATACATCTCAATTATTTGTTGATGTCAAAAGACAAAATTCGAATACAAATGACCATTTAGATATTAAAATTGATATATTACCAAAAGTATGTTGAAAAGAATGACTCTTACTTGTTGTACCATCATTTCTTTATTGATTATTTTCTCAAAGGATCTTACACTAAACGATGATGTTTTATTGAATAAAATAGAATATGTGACAGATAATGGAAATGTTGAGTGTGAACAAAAACTTGATATAGCAGAACAATTGACATTGCTATTGATAATGTACGTAGATGATACATCTTAGTAGTTATTTTCTTATATTATTAATTTGATAATATTTACTCTTTGAAGAAATGATTATCAAGTGAATAATCCAAAACATGAAATAACGACGGAAGAATTACTTGCTTATCTTACTGTAAGCATAATTCTCGATTTTAAAACTCAAGCAGTTTAGCAAGATTGCGTAATTTTAGTATATTTTAGCTCACCCAATTAATTGGTGTGTACAAACATGTTCGCTAGTATTACGTTGTAATCATGAAACTCAAAATAAAAGAAAAATTGAACGAACATTAACACAGTTACAAGTAAATATAATATTTTATTTTTTATAATCTCTTTATTAAAATTGTCACATTGTTTTGGTTTTTTAGGAACTCATTGATCAATATGAAAGATCGTCACCGTCAAATATACAACGTTTACAATATTTTCATTTGACAATGATGCCACCATTATGGAAATTACAGGTAAACGAGAAAATAGAGTACATTTAGAGATATTGGATTCGCTAATATTTCTTCTTTTACAGAGTGATTTAGCAAAAATATACATGAGTCTTGGCCTCATCAACAATGCATTGGAACTTTATTTACATCTAAACAAATGGTCAGAAGTTATTGCTTGTTATCAATGTTTAAATAAAATGTCAATGGTATGTTTATTATACAATGAAGTAAATTTTTATTAAAACAAGCAATTTTTCATGTCTTTAGGCCGAAAATATCATACGTGATCAATTAAAAGTCAAAGAAACATCTGATTTGTATTGTTCATTAGGCGAAGTGACAGGTGATATTAGTTATTATGAAAAAGCTTGGGAATTCAGCAAAAATCGAAGTGGTCGTGCACAACGTCTAATGGGAAAATATTATTTGAACAAAGGCAATGTATGTTCTTAACTTTGACAAAAAAAGATGAAACTATAATTAATCATTTACATTTAGTTTGAAAAAGCTTGTGAACATTTGGAAAAGGCTGTTGAAATCAATTCATTACAAGTAAGTTTAATCGTTTACCTTTTATATTTTCATTATAATGTTTTATTTTAGCATGACACATGGTTTTGGCTTGGTAGTGCAGCATTTCGTACAGAAAAATGGGAATTAGGTGTTAAAGCATATAGACGTTGTACAACAATTGAGCCAGACGTATGTTTTTAAAGAAAAAAATGTCAGCAACAATAACAACATTTACATTGTTTTGTATCTTAATCATTATTTCTAGAACTTTGAAGCATGGAATAATTTGGCTGCCTGTTATACAAAACTTAAACAAAAGTAAGATAAGAATGAGTTTGTTGTACTTTGTTCTTATCATTTAAATTTATTTATTTTTTTTCATTGTAGATCCAAGGCTCATACAGTATTTCAAGAGGCAATTAAATGCAATTTTGATAATTGGAAAGTATGGGAAAATTATCTTTGGGTATGTATTTTTCTGAATTTAAACAAATATATTCGAATTTATTTTTCAACATAGACTAGTGCAGATTGTGGTGAAATTGATGATATGATACAAGCTTACCATCGTCTAATCGATTTAAAAACAAAATATGTGGATAAAGATGTAAGTAAAATCTTTTATTGATCTATTCTTTATAAACTTTTATTTTTCTATTTTTGTACTATAGGTATTAAAAAGATTAGTCTATATTTTAAAATCTGAGAATAACGATAACAGTGAATTATATTCAAAACTATATCAAAAAACGCTTGAATTATTTGGTCGTTTGACTGCTGAAGTAAGTCTATGCGTTTTTTCTCTTCAGATAAAAAAAGATGAAAAGTCAATTTTTTTTACACTGTTCTAGGTTATAAATGATGCTGACATATGGGAATTGTACAGTGATTTATCAGATTTAAAACAAAATCAAAACATAGAATGGCAAACTAAAGTATTTATTAGTTTAACACGATTAAAATCAGTCATTATTTATTCATTATACTGTCTAGATTCTCCAACAACTTCAACGAGCACATCGTTGTCTAACAAGTCAGACAGGCTGGGAAAATCAAATGGAAGGAATTTTGCATGTATTATCGTTGTCAAACAAATTAGGAACAAGTAAGTGATAGTCATAAACAAGATTAGAGTCAGAATATCGTATATAATCATATAGAATGAAAGCTCAATTCATGAAAATTTCGTCAAATTTTCATGTCGATTTATGAAATTCTATGTTAGTTCTCTTTTCAATCTTCTCATATAAAATTTCTTTAAGTTTGAGTGTACTGAAATACACAGCTCTGTTTTTATTTCGTATCATCTATATAAAATGTTAAAAAAGTTATTTTTGTTGACTTTAACAATATAAACAGCAGAACGTATATATACATAAAAAGAGTTCTAAAAAACAACAACAAATGAAACAATACGATGTTCATGGCCGTAAATAGAATTCTAGTTCACGCGACGGAAATATGGTCTCATTCTATTTATACACAAAATATTTTCGTTCTATTCCATCTCATTTGATGCTCTGATAGAATGGATTTCCTGTCTGTCGTTCTTCAATATTTTGTCAAGTCAACAAGTATTGTTCAATTTCAATTATGCAACATTTAGTGAACTGTAAATCGAATCTTACGTTTCAATAAAGAACTTGATTTGAGAGTCATAGCATAATATTCTCTAATAACTGTGTACTTGTTCAATTAGAACTTTTATTTTTTTTTTTAGAAACATTCGAACAAATTAATCACTTTTTCAGCAATCATATTTATGATGAAAGTTTAAAACAAGTTTGTTCATCCAATCGTCTATTATTAAATTCTGTTTTGACACGTTTAAAACAAAAATATTCAGATACTACATTACTCGATGATAATCAAGAGGTGAAAAGTAATTATGAACAACTTGGTGAAATTCTTCAGAAAATAACCGATAATTTGAGTAAATTTCAGCAAGAATAATTTTTAATGTGAAAAGAAAGAGAATGATCTTGTTGTTGTTTTATGATTGTTTTCTTTTTTTTTGTTATATAAAAATTAAAAAAAAAACAAAGAACAGAATCTGTCCAAAGAGAGATAAACATAGATGTTTAACAACAACTCAATTAACAATTCTAATATACTCTTGAAATAATCTACAAGATCAGAGAGTCGACATATCTAGGATGTAAATTTTCATGTTTGAATTATTTGGTCAATCTAGAAAAAATACAATGTCAACTTTTCTGTAAAAGATTTATGTTGATAACGGCCAATGATAGTAACTAACTAATCTGAAAGTTTTTGACACATCAATACAAGAAAAAGAGTACGTTTTATTATATATATAGCAATGCGATGTCAACACCTATCTGATGAATAGGTTACTTGACATGAATGAATATTTTAGAATGTATTACAACGTCACAGAACGTTCACGTGATACGTTAATAATAAATAAATAATCAATATTATTTTATATAGTCTCATAAGACAACTTACATGTTTTGTTTTTCAACAATGTCTTCAAAATTCTAATCAGTTATATGATGTTCATCTATCTTTCTAATTAATATCAATATTTTCTTCGGAAATTTTCATTCTTTATTCTATATAGTTTATAGACACGATGATAAAAAGCTAGTTTCTTCTTTTATGTTATTTATGCGACTATGTTACAACATTGTTTCGAAACGAGAAGCGGAAAAATGAGAAAAAATACACATATAAATTCACATCGTTCAACAACGTATAGAATATACAATCTCTCTTCTTTTTTTCTTTTCGTTTTTCTGATAATGATGATCCGATCATCACAGATTAAATTATTTTGTCTTTACTTTTTGCATATAAGCACACACACAACTTTTTTCAAACCTTTTGCAATTAGAATTAATGTCATAAAAAGTAAATATTTTCCTATACTCATCTCATACTATAAACACATTCACTTATAGATCATATATTTTTCTTATTTATGATCTTACCCTGATCAAAGTTTCTACATGGTAAGAAAATTTCTACATCAGTAATCCTCTCATTTTATTCTTGCTATACATAGATCAAGAAGTTTCTAAGATTAGTGTAAAAATAAGCTTAGAAAGTTATTGTTATATTATGAAAGTTGATTAAAAACAAGTTTACATATTGAAAATCTTCATTCACGACCATTTAATTATTCATTCTATCTTCTTATTTCCAATGGTTTTATCTGATACAAAAGGTTTACAAAGATTTACGCTAAAATGACATGGACTATTGTTACACGATATATATGACATAGTATTTGTAAAGAATTTCTTTTATGATATAACTTCGTGAGCCTACCACTCAAAAATCACTTCATTGTCATACAACATGAATTTGGCAACGAAGCGAGGAGGCATGCTCTTTTTCTTGTAAAAAAGAGAAAAAGAAAGAAGAAGAACTACTGATTTTGATGAGAAAAGAGAATGTGAACATCATTAAGAGCAATAGATTTTGTCTCGTCTATTTTTATTATTCATTGCCAAATATATGTAAAAAAGAGCGATTTCTCAATATCTCATAGAAATGCAGAACAAATATCTTCCATTTGTTTTAAACTGTATCCTAAACAATTTGTTCCAAATTTTTAAGTGGTTACCATTTTTAATTTTTTTTCCTTTTATCACACATTATGAACGCGCGTTCTAGGATTGTTAATGCGTAAAACAAAAATGAGGAAAATATAACAACAAAATATAAAAGACCTAAGAAAAAAAGATTTCTATTATAAACATAAAAATAAAATGGAAAGAATTTCTAATTTTAGTTTATTTTTTATGAAGTTAAAGTTAATAATACTAATTCTACATGAATATTTTTTCTTTTTTTATTTTAAAATGTTTGACAAACTCTTTCTATTATAACAGAATTTCGGTTACTTTTGATCACAGTGAAAAAAATGATAATTTGACAAATAGTTTAAAAATATTTTTAGAGTGAGGAAATTATCACTCTCTCTCTCTCTATTTTATTCAAAATCCGTTACCGTAGTTTGAACAACGAAATTTATCGAACGACTTCTAATTTTTTAAATTAGTGAAAAATTCTATCTTCACTATGTATTTGTTGTAGATCTATATAACTATTTTACATCAAAAATGTTATAACAGCTAAAACGAAGAACTAACAAAAAAGTTTATTTTTCATTCAATATTATTCTAAGAATGAGAAAGGAATTAAATATTTTAAATTTTGAGTATAAAAGATTTTTTGAAAAGTACGTCTAATTTCATACTGTTGAGTTATGTTCTCATTATTTTATCGGTTGCCATCTGCGTTGGAGAAAAAGAAAAAGGAAGGAAATAAATATATTAGTAATTTGCTTAATTTTTTTTAATATATGCTTGAAATCTTATAGGAATAATAATTTCATTTCATATTTTTAGATTTTTCATTACTATTTTCGTTCATCTTCAAATTAAAATACATATCAATGAAAATTATAAATCATGGCATCGTCAAAATTTGTGCCCCCGACTGTTATTATCGAACCATGTCCATGTCAAGAATCACTGACAAATGTCAATCATTGTATCTCTCTTCCACATTCAATAAGTACACCAAATTTTTATGCCGAACGAGATACTTATCGAGATTTACATAAGAAAATTTATTATTCAAAACGTCAATTAAATCGAAAAGCGTTATCATGTCCATCGTTGTCCTTTATCACATCATCATCTAGATGGTTGAAAGGATCACTTTTTCGTACACCTTCACCATCACCATCCTCAGATATAGGTCATTTTCTTGATCCGGAAAATATTCGACAGTTCAGCAATATTCGTGGTAGTACTTTAAGCACTCAGACAGCAAGTTCATCGAGATTTTCATTATATGAAAGTTTTTTTGATTTATCAGATAATGGACAAGAAAAATATCGAACATTAGAAGAAAAAAAACTGTTCGAATCAATAACATCATATAATAAATTTCAAAATGAGCAATGCGATGACTTTCGAACGAAATGTAGTAATTGGCTGAGAAATATTTAACATATATAGATTCAAAGTGATATTTCAATATACCGGTGGTTTCTCTTAATCTCAATTATGACAAAAGCTTTTTTTCTTGACTAAAATAATAGTTTTCATGTTTGTTTTGAGCACTTTGTCACCTGTATGGTTGTAACCTTCTTTTTCCGTTTCGAAAAATTTTTAAATAAAAACTGTTAGTCAGAATTTTATATTTTGTAAACATCTGATCATATAAATAAGAATTGTGCAATTCTTTGTTCGACTCTCGTTCCCATTCGTTTATTTATTTTACAGGAAACATCATTGTTATTCAAGGTAAGCATCACAATCATTTTAATGTAGCTCTAACAAATGATATTACGAAAAGATAATGAAAATTAGTCATCTTCTACAACTAAATGACTTAAGAAATCTTTGTATGTACATGTTCGTGTTGTTTCATTGTCTAAAGCAATGGTCATGAAATCTTGAAACTCTTCTTCGTTGAATGGCTCTCCTATGATCAAAAAATCGGAAATAGTGTAGAGAAATATAAATACTAGAAAAATAAATTACCCTCTTTACACAATATTTGACGGAGTTCATCTTCTGTGAGATGTCCATTATTTTGAGTGTCAAGCACTTGAAATGCACGTAGAATTTTGCTTTCCGGCTCCGATTGATACCTACAAAAGTGATTCAGTTAAAAACTTCATGTAAGAAAAACCGATTTTTTAACCATCAACCACCAATCTTGCAATAAACTTTGTAACATGTACCCTGAACTGTTAGCTATGTGTGAATGCTGCAGTAAAGTTTTACGTATTCTTCAACAAGTTCTAAAAATGTATTAATAAATACGCAGTGTATTGTCTTGTTAACGTGGTTGACTCAGTTATCGTTCAGTACGTTATGTTTTTCTCGCAAAAGACCTAATACAGTCCAATAAACGTTTTCTCGTTCGAAAGCTCAGATAAAACTGTACAAATGAGCTATGACGATATTTGAGATTCTCTTCTGTTAATGAGAAAATTACAGATCCGTAAGCGCCATCTAAGACCTTTTCTCAACCTTTAACTTTAAATACACATAAAAAAACGTAGAGATCTAAGAACGTAAGATGTTGCTTCAGCGTTGTTTTAAAAACTTTGTTGCTTGATTAATTGAATACACTAGAGGACATCTCATCCATGGTATGGGAAATAAAGAAACTAACAGCGGTTTTTAGAGTACAGTAAGGACGATAATTAGAAGCAACATTGCTAGTGTGACACATGGGTATTAAGTCATGAGTTAATTTTATATGAAGTCATTTTAAAAATTCATCATGAACATCAATAACGTTATTAATTAATTAACATATAACAAGTTGAACCTCATCAAGATCGACAATGTATATTATATCGTCATCGAGTGACGAAGTCGACGATAGAAAAGCGATAGATTGTGAAAGGTCGTTTATGACAATAAGATATAAAATAGGGTTTAAGATTGATCCTTGTGATACGTCCGGTGTGACAAAGAGTAAGATAAAAGAAGGGTTTACGTTTACTATCTGATGAGGGAACCTTTCGAACTGTTACCTCGCTTTTTCAGCCAAACCCAGTGGGTTATAGGTATTCGACCACGCAGACTCCGAATATGAACATGAGAGCTGCCCTTAGGCCTCTGAAGATCCAGTTTTCTGGAAAACCAGTTTTTTAGAAACTCTTCTAACCCAAACTTTTCTTAATGAGCCAAGATTGTAGCCTGCAAATTTCTGCTTAAAATGATACCTCTCCCAGCTTCACAGAACCTTTCTTTGCAAAGTTATAGAATTTACAAGAAAAGCCCTATATGTTCATTATCAGCTCAAAACTACAGAAATAGGAAGAAATTAATTTAGGGCTTATCTGGTAAATTCTATAGCTTTGCAAAGAAAGGTTCTGTAGAGCTGGGAGAGGTCTCATTTTAAGCAGAAATTTGCAGGCTATAATCCTGGCTCATTAAGAAAAGTTTGGGTTATTTTTTAGAGTTTCTAAAAAACTAGTTTTCCAGAAAACCGGATCTTCAGAGGCCTAATGGCAGTTCTCATATTCATATTTGGGATTAGCGTCATGGAATACCTGTAACTCACTGGGTTTGGCTGAAAAAGCGAGGTAGCAGTTCGAAAGGTTGCCTCACCAGATAAATACGACTAAAACCATTTAAGAAGTTGGTCGCATATTTCTACGACTGCTACCTTCCTCAAACTAAATGTTAATATATCGGCATCGCTTTTGAAATTTTTTTTTTACGACTTTGGTTTAAACTCAGACTAATCTGTGTTCTGGAAATTCTACTAGTCAGGTATGCACTTTTGTAGCCACTTTTGCGTAGAATGGTGATATGCGAAAAACATATTTCTCTAATTAAAATGAACGTTGCTTAATTACATCTAAAACTAATTTTTAATCGTGGGCTGTATAGGGATAATAAGAATATTCTTTATTCACATACGACAAGAGTATGATACTTTTAATCGTATGGGTTTGATACTTTTCTTGTTTTGGACTTTACTTTAGAAACTCGCAGTGGAAAACATTGAAAAAATTCTGACACAGACTAATTTCATTGTTAGCTCAAAAGTACAAAAATTCTACCAGACTATACAGCATAAGCCCCAACTCTCGACTATATCTTTACTACTATAATCATCACTCGATAAAAGTACACTTTGACTTAAATATCAATAAAATAATGAAAAAATGATCGTAAAAGCGAAATTTTCGATTACGCATGGACTTCTATCTCTGAGGCTTTCGTTTAAATCGTCGACACCGTGTATCAAATAAAAGTTTTGTAGAGACAGGTCATTAGAACTTAACGTAGTCTAAAGTATTAGAATAACAAAGCACCCACCTGCGATCTTTTAAAATTCCAGTCATTAAACTTAAAAATCTTTCTAAATGAATATATTCAGGATTTGAATCGTCGGCCATCTAGACGGAAATAAAAGTCAGGTGTTTATCAATGAACTATTCACCCATAAAGATGATTCTTACCTCACTCAAAAGATCCTGAAGTTCGCCTTCAGTTGGCACTAGGCCAAGAGAACGTAAAACAGTTCCAACTTCTCTACAACAAACAAAAATGAAGCAGATTTGTCGTATTTCAGAAAGATGCTGATGACAAATACATTATGCAGGCAGGGACTTCTGATTTATTAGGTGTGCGTAGTTCTCAGAATCCCTCCACAGTGTGCATTTTTCTAATAGGCTGCAGACATCAGAATTTTATACTCGTAAACCAACCTTATTTTTTTTTAAAAATGTTCCTGAACTCAGAAAATTGATCTTTACCTGAAAACCTTTCTTCGCGAGCCCAGAAAAAAAAAGCATTTTTCTGCATCCACCATTAAAACTCTACTTGCAGAAGAACAACATGCCAAAGTCTAAGTATTTTTGGATGCATAAAAAACAGTGGAAACTCACATCTCCACAGAAACTTAATTATTTCGGAAAACATTGTGATTTCTTCGCTGGTTTAGGATAAAAATGAAAAATTTTTCGCTAATACATGGATGGAACAACCCGGGTTCAGAGTTGATTCACGTTTGGATCTGTCACTTTCGATTTTTGCCTAATATCCGCTAGAATGTACACTGTGCCCTCGCTAGTAACAACACCGCTAAATACAGCTCAGGTAATCATAAAGTAAAAAATTCCTTCAACTGGCTTAATGCAGTACATTTGAATATTCATACTTACGCAGCGGCTATCGTTTTATTTGATTCCAAATCAAAAACTTCGAAGGCATCAGTGAGCCGTTTTATTCTTTCTTGTTGAGCTCGTTCTAGAGAAACAACAGTGATACAAACGTTTCAACAAAATCACATTGTGATACAAAGATTGCTCTCCAGCAAAATATTTGTGTGCTGCAATCTGTCTCTTCATCGAAGTTCTCTAATGAAGCTCTATAAAAAGAAATTAACCTTCGCTTTCTTTAATAGGATCACGTAAAGTAACTTTTTCTACGCCATTTATCTCGCCGTTAGCCGTTGGATTAACATCTGCTGATGGTTTAGTTGTCGATGCCATGACAGTTTTTTCTTCTAGCGGTTGTCTACGCTTTCTTGTATACATGAAGTCATCATTTTAATATCAAAAGATGTTAAACGCACATCTTTAACGACAATGATAGTAATAAACACAGCTAAAATTAGGTATGATCAAAGGCGTATAGTTAAAAAGTTTCAGTCCTCGTTGTACACGGCGACACCTATAATAGCAGTGTAATCGAGGACATGGATCCAGACCAAGAGCTAGTTAACATACCTGGTTTATTGATAACCGCTATTTTAATAAAAATAATTTGTAAAATCTATATGACCAGAAAAATGTAATAAAAGCATTGGCGGGTCGACAGCGGGGCAATTACCCCTCCTGGAAAAAAATATCAATAGCAATCAGTAGTTATTACCATGTGAAGAATTATATTACGCAGCAGTATATTTTCTTAAAATTCGAAATAAAAGAACAATGCTTAATTGTACCACTCTAAAAAGTCTGTTGACCTCCGTAGAAACGTTTTCCGGCCCGTTCATAAATACAAGAGTGTATCCTATGGTTACGTGCTTTTTCGAAACATCATTTTATAATTCAACTATTTCCCTCATATATCCAGATATATTTAAATGCATGTTTTATATAATTACACATATTCGTTTTTAAAATTAATGACAAGTCGAGCACATTGAACATCTGCAGTATACGTATTGTGAAAACAATCTTCCCATTTCCTTTTTGTCGATTTAATTCAATTAATCTATCGACTTTTTTTATATACGCAAAGAAAAAAGCTGGAAATAATAAATAAAAATCAAAGCAAATGAAACAATTAAATTCACAGTAAGAAGTTATAAATTAAGAAAAACTGGGAGTTCATGTGAGCGAGAAAATGATAATTACCCAAACAAATTCAGTTAATATTTTTTTCTCAATCACCACTGTAAGGAATATAACGAACGTTATTAAGGACAATGTTTTACGTGTGTATGTCTATATGTTAACAGAAAATAAAAAGTAATACCAAAGGAAAGAAAAAGTGATTTGATGAATCAAAGCCACAACAACAAAATCTCTGATAGAACCCAATTACGTGTGTAAATAAAAGAGAAAGAGAAGAATTAAAAGACGTGTTCTATTGCTGTTTTGTTTAAGGAAAAAATGGTCAAAAGTAATCAAGTTGAATAAAAAAAAGAGATAAAACAACAAATAAATCAATAATGCTCGTTTTCTTTGGAAAGTTTAATGATAATTGCTCCAGTTCAGGAACAACACGATGCATTCGATTTTGTTTCATTGTTAGTTGGATTTATAACAATTGGTCGCATGCTTTTAGGTTCACCTCGCCCTTCATCGTGTATTTGACGTTGTGAAACAATACGATAAATTTCTAGGGAAAAATAAAACAAATATTATAACCCATGCACAGAAAAATAGACTGACTATATCCTTTCGATTATAACGTCAAACTATTCTCACAATCTACATCTACTTAGGAATTAGTGAATTTAATGGCTCAACTAGACTTTGTGCTTTTTCTCGGCTTTCTTGTTCTCATTACTAACAGTATTTTTCACATTACTCGATCTTCCTACCTTGTAGGATTGTATGAAAAGCTGTTTCAACGTTGGTAGAATCTAACGCCGATGTTTCAATGAACGAGACACCATTCTTTTCTGAAAAGACAACAAGCATATTGGTAAGGTTAAAAAAAGTAGATATCATTTATTTTACCTGCAAACGCTTTTGCTTCATCACTTGGAACTGAGCGTAAATGTCGTAGATCTGATTTATTGCCAACTAACATGATAACAATATTGGCATCAGCATGATCACGTAATTCTTTTAACCACCGTTCAACATTTTCGTATGTACAATGCTTGCTAATATCATAAACTAATAAAGCACCTACAGCACCACGATAATATCTAGGAAAGATAAAGTAGTTTTATATAGCATTAAGTATACAAAAAAAGAATGTCATTTACTAATAATCGACATTATAGTAAAGGAGAGAAAACGAAATTCAATACGCTTTTCAGAGCCACAATTGTCACAACTTACTAATCTTATGTAAAGAATACAATCTCGATCTGAAACGTTATGCTCCATTTTATCCGTTTTCTACTATGAGCAATAAAAAACAAAGATTAAATTACATACGCGCTTGTTATAGCTCGATAACGTTCTTGTCCAGCCGTATCCTAGAATACACAAAAATAAATGTAACACACTATATATGGTAAGTAAACCCAATACATACCCATATTTGTGCCTTGATAGTTTTGGAATCAACTTGTATACTCCTTTAAATCAAAGTAAGAAAAAAATTCACATGTATCAATAACCATATTATCAAAAAATCGTACCTTGTTGCAAATTCTACTCCAATTGTACTTTTACTTTCAAGATTAAATTCATTTCTGGTAAAACGAGACAGCAAATTACTTTTGCCCACACCAGAATCACCGATCAATACAACTAAGAAACAGAAAGCATGAAATAGTTAATGATGTTGAATGTGATTGGACTGTGTACCTTTGAATAAATAATCATATTCATCATCACGAGTCATTTGTTACTTTTCTATTAAAATAAATAATGAAAATAAGAGTAAGGAAAAAATGATAAAACAAAAAATAATAACAAATCGGATAGTTAAACGTGGAAACTTGAGGTGTTAAATGTTAGTTATACTTGTTATTTCATTTCTCTACAATAAAAAACACGAAAAGTATTATGCATGAAAGTGATATGTTTACATGTGTTTAAGATAATTCTACAAAAACCCTCAAATTCGAGACTGCTGAAGCTGAAGATGAGTGGATATCAGCTATTTTGACTCTTGGGACATCTAAAGTATAATCTTCGCACAGTTTAACATTAGAGCTCAATGTTTTACCCAAATAACTGTCCACAAATTTTGAAGTTTTTGCACAATTTATTGTAGAATGTAGACATTTTCCCTGCGAGCATCTCTCATTCACTCACACTTCTGTGAGACGAAAAATATCAACTTATATTACATCGTGGTCTGCTCGTTACTACTATGATTAGCTTGATAATTTGTAAGCATCTTTTAAGAGAAAGCCAAAACAAAAGGTGTCTCATCAGGAAAAGAGCAAATCTATGCCACGTCATCGAAAATGTTGGGTGTGAAATATGGTGGAATCAACAGTATAAGTTGTTACTTTGTTACATAGAAACTAATGCGTCTTTTTGTTGGTTTTCTTTCTTCTCAGGACAAAGGAGATTTTGTTATGATAACACAAGATGTGGACTGCATCATTCTTCGATCCGTAACAAAATATCAAACTAAGCGCAAGTGAAGCAAATAAAAATCGATTCTGTAAGAGCCGCTAACTACTTTTTGCATTCCGCCACCGATGAAGAATAGAATCGGCCAAGCGAAAGAAGGTAGGGACTCTTTTTGTTTATATTATTATAAATAAAATGGAATTGAGGCTCACTCTTAGATGACTCATTGTATTATCTCCTCGACAAAAAACATTAGTCGACGAGATCGACCAATCACTAATGTAAAAACGATAATATATAGTCAAATGAGCAGTATAATAGTGTTACATATAACAGCGACAACACATCATAGAGTAAAAAAAGTTCTCATGTAGAATTGTTAAACTATACATTAAAAAAAGAAGTTTGAGTTTAATAAAAGAAAATAATTTTTGTACATCCTTACATTGAAATGTCAAAAACGCTAACAGGAGTAAGTGTAAAGACACTATCTATTTCAGTATATCGCGCTCATGGATATATTTTGAAAAACGTTTGACCGAGTAACACGTCTTCATTAAAACCAATATGAAATGAAAATACACATTTATACTCAAAAGCTATTATTATCATTGAGTTCAGTCAAAAACCTTCAGGAATTAGAATGTCTTTTCACATGGTTTTCTGTTAAAAATTTTCTTAAATAAAAATCATATCAACGTGAAGAAAAAAGTAAAGTCCATGCAGAATCGTGGAAAAATACTCTTGTATTCAGTACAGCATTTTTCTTACGATTCTGGCAATACCTCTCAGCAAGAATAGAAAATCGTCTGGATGATTGAGTGTGCTAGATACGAAAAAACACGTTTCCGCGATTCTGCATGAACTTTATTTTTCTGTCGGTGATATAGCGTCGTTTTCTCAATTTTACATTCAGATCACAATTTGCACGTCCAACTGACTCTTTATCGAGACCACGGATGTCAACTACAAGAAAAGTAAAGAAGGAGAAATTTAAGGAAAAAGGGGAACGTGGAGGTCTTTGTCCTTCAGAGAGGAATTTTAATCCCTCTCTGAACAGCTTTGCCGGCGAAAATTTTTCTCCAAAATGCTTCGTTGTTTTTGAAATGCGTGCATAAGTTTCAAAAAATTACTTTAAGGACTCAAACTGCACTATAATGAAAAATGTTAACTTTCTCAGACACCATTGGTTCAGTTTCCATTATAACTTGTGGGTGTATGTCACTTAAGGTGCTCTGTCGAGCTGCGTAACAATAAGAGTCCCAGTTCCAGTTCTGAATTTTTTATAAATTTTTTAAATAGAGGGTCAAAATCGTATGAAATTCGTAAAAATTTCTTTTCTCAAAGAATTACAAGTCTGTTCATCGAAAGCACTTCAGGGTATATACAGCTTGATGCGCTCTACAAAGTTATGAAAAAAACGGGGGTGGTTAACCCCCCCCCCCTGAAGGGCCAAAAGGTGGGGGGGGGGGGGTAAAGGGTTGCTCCTCCGGTTCTAATGATACCGCCGTTGGGTTGGTGTCAACATGTAGTCAGCGGAGTCGGGTTTTTGAAATTATTTGTTTATTTCTTCTGAAAGTGTCCTTTTAAAAAGTTGAAAAAAGTTACAGCTAACTTTTCGGAAAAACTTTATTTTTCTCAAAAATTAAACTGAAAATAAAAAATCCGGCTCTGTTAAGTTCTAGCGCTGAATGGTACCTTCATTTTAAAACCTGCTAGAACTTTCTAGCATTTAAAATGGCGGAGAAACAGCTGAACATCTGTGCACGAAAAGCTAAAAAGGAAAAAACCGATGTCGAGAAAAACGAAAAAGAAGTTATAACTTTAAAACTTAAGGTTTTTTTCTTCATATTGTGTTACAGGAAAAAACTAAGGGTAGTTGGTCAGTGGTTATCAGCTATAGCAAATCAAATGAACACATACAGAGACATGTTACCTTTTTGAATGACATCACACGATCATCGCTAATTTTTATGTGAATCAAACGAAGCTTCTCAAAAACGATACAAATTCGTCCTAATTGGCTTTGTAAGGTCAAACAACATCAGAGGGGACATTAAAAGCTGAATATGAATTTTCAAAAAAATATATCTCTTTTGAGACAGCCAAATCAAATCATTTACACAATCATTTAGAATGGTAATAGAAGAAGGTAAAACAAGTGCGGTGGGAATAATGTTATCATCAAGAATATCAAAAAAGTATGTAATTGGTGCCAGGCATGGGCGAGTCCGCGTCCGGACTAGAAGATTTTTTGGTGGACTCGGACTGGAGATTTTTTTGAAGGACTCGGACTTGGACTTGAGTTTGTGTATTTCGAGTCCGATCTATTCAATTTTTAACACAAATGAGCAAAGAAAAATGAAAAGCGAAATAACAACACCTACTGTTTCACAGGAAATTGAAAATTTTGTTCGGGAGACGGACATGGAACGTACCCTTATTTTCGAAAAATCAAATAAAAAAATCCATAGCTCAGCAAATTAAAATATAAACCACCTTCATCAAAAAGAATCTAAAAGATTACCGAACTCGAAATGGACTCGGACTCGGCTTGAACTTTTAAGGACTCGGACTCGGTTTGAACTTGCAAGGACTCGGACTTGGCTCGGACCCGGTCCCCCCGAACTCACTCATGCCTGATTGGTGCTTTGACTGATATCGATAAAAAAATTAGATTAAATTTGATGAAAAGTGTAATTGGTTATCCTTAATCCTTATCCTCTCATCATATTACTGAGTTTCGTTCTATGCTAGCTATACGTTTGTGCGAAAAAATATAGGATGATTCCTGCACTTCACGTTTACAATCATGATCTATAGAATGGCTCTGCATGATGCGGGTTTCGCTATTATTCCTCTTTATCATGTGTTGGATCGGGACACAATGAACAGAAGAGGAATTTAGAAGTATTTCTGACTTTTTTGTGTTGTTTTGGTCAGATGTGACTCTCTATTGCTCAAAAATGTCTATTTCGATAAAAAAATAAGAGAAAATTTTTCTTAGCTTAATTCCTAGAGGAACATCCTTGCCCTTTGCTAGACCGTAGAAAGTTTTTCTGTAGGGCTGTCCTATTACGCTTCATTCGACACAGTTCTATGCACTGATCACAAATATCACATTTTTTTTAACTGAAAAATATTATCTAAGTAAGTTTTAATCTGAAAACCAGAGTTTTTATAAAACGTCTTTCGAGAAGTTTGTTCTGTTTTGCATTAATATTAAACGTATAAGTTGACAAGTTCCATATCGAATAATATAAAAATTTGAAAAAATATCCTCCAGATAAACATTTTAGTGTTCATTAAGAGGGGGAGGGCACCTAGAGGTCTGTCCCAGTCCCGTGGGACTTTTTATGGGATCGGGATGTAGAGATCTGCGGGACGGTCCCGGTCGTGCGAGACTTTTAATGCGACCGGTACAAGGGTTTTTTCAGAATAGTCCAGTATGAAGCATAAAAAGGAGAGGACCCGCTTTTTCACTGCATTTGGTCCACTGCTTTTTCGACTTCGTTATGATCACATGTGGTAGGGAAAACGATTTTACACATTTTGAACTGCATATCAATCATTATAACATTAAAAAAAACCTTTTAAAATGACTTTTCTGAGGAGGTACATAAAGCATATCGGTGTTTAACAGGAACGATTTTACTCAAAATCTAATATAAAGTTACGGTAAAACTTGATATAGAAAAATAGCTTTTGAAAAGCTCTACAATATTCTGACTAAACAAACCCTACGTATCACTGGCTCGATCCTTTATAGGTCAAATATGAGTCCAAGGACACCTAAAAGTTAACACAGTTGATATTTTAACCAATTTACTCTCATAGATACGAGAGAATCCAACTAGTTTTTAGTATAAGAAAATAGCTCTTGAAAAACTCTACAATATCTGTTAATAGGAAACTTAACGAAGCCCGGCAACAGGTTTTATGAGTTTAATACTAGACTTTTCCATGGGTCGTGGCTATGCCAAGGGAACTCTTGATCACCCAAATGCAGTGAAAAAGTGGGTCAATTTCCTAGTGGCCAATCTTTCGGGAAAACGTTTTTCGTGAAATATCGGCAATTTTGCCCTATTTTGTTCGGTTTTTGGAGCTAAAAGTAATTTGTGAAAACAAAGTTGTTCAGAATCCAATTCTGTACCAGGCTACGCGACAGTTGTATGAAATTTGACTTTACTGCTTTTTAAATGAAAACTGCAAATTATTTTAAGTTCAAATTCTACTAAATTTCGATTTAAAAATTCTTAAAATCTAATTTCACAAAACTGTCGCGTAGCCTGGTGTAGAATTACATTCTGAACAACTTCCACTACGTGGCTTGTTTTCGTAAAAATCATCTGCGGCTAGAATCCGTGGCAAGGTTTTCACAAATTACTTTCAGTGCCAGAAACCTATCAAAATGTGGAAATATTATTTTCTCGGCGAAATCCCCATGGAAGTCCATCATAGTTTCAGGGTATATACAGTGTGAAATACTCTTTCGAACTGAGCAGGAATCCAGTTTACAGCTTAAAACTTGAATTTTTGAGAAACTTTTTAAAAATAGGGGAAAATTGCCGATATTTCACGAAAAAACTTTTCCCCCAAAGATGTGAAATTCGATCCGAGAGAAAAGTTCAGGATACACCTTTCAAAGTATCCTCTACAAATTGGTGCACTTATCTCTTGGGATGATGTCCTTCCCAGGAGATCCACGCTTTTTCAGTACTATTCTGCCACTAGTATTCGTTTTTAAGCTAAACCAAAAATAGTATTTAATGGAAAGGTGTCTAATCTACAACACTGGATATCATTGCACTCAAAATCTTAAAAATGAATTTTTGTCACCTGACTGTCTACTATATGAAGCTGGGTGATTAAGCAGAATTATTTGCTTCTATGCAGCATCCTTCGTTTTTGTTAATTAATTTGTTCACGTTTCCTAGCTGAGATCGCTTTTTCTGCTCCACCATTGGCCAAAAAAATATTTAGACTAATTTTCATTAAACAATAGAATTTTATTCCTTACAGACATCTAAAAGTTTTTTTTTCAAATGTTTGTGGAAACAGTTTGAGATATGTTTCTTTTTTAATAAAAATACTCCCTATTTTGTATGTGTATATATTGCGTATTAAAAAAACAACATTATTTTTCATGTCTACTTTTCAAATCTATGGGGATGTGTTTCATTATGTGTTCAATATGGCTGTGTAAATGAGAAAAACTAAAAATATTTGAAAAAGTAAGGGAAAGTAAGAAATAAAAGGTGATGATGAACGCGAGAGAATATGCTTTTTTCCATCTTGACATACAAGAAGAAAAACTAGTTAAAGTTTTTTAATCTAAATATTATGTATATGAATAAACTTAATAACAAAAAAGAAAGGACGTCATTCTTCTCGAGTAGTAGACTGTTACTGGAAAACTTTTTTTTTTGTTTTATAAGGAAAAAAATAATAAAGAGTTGAAAAAAACTTCGAGAAACATTCATTATCGATTAGTTAAATTTCTTTTTTAGTATAAAAAAATAAGTTTTTTTTCTTTTGTTTTTTTCTTTGTTTTAGCATCATTCAACTGACTAGTAGTATGACTATTTTTTAAAATTTAAAATACATTAAAAAGCTTACCAAAATATATAATATGTTGAATGAAATGTTTGCCGGCCCACGACTTAATGATCAGGACCATGCACCAGCTGGAATGGATTCCGAATTGTATATTGATGGTGCATTACATGTCGATGGTGTATCAGTCGATCGTCAACAAAAACGACAAATACAAAAACATCAAAATCCATGTGAACAATTACTTCGTGTGCTAAGAAGTGAGCATTTAAAAAATTTTAACAATAAAACAAGTCAATATTTTTTGACTTGTTCTATAGAATAGTTCTCTAAATATTGTCTTGTTCATTTATTGACTATAATTTTTTTGAAATTTTTTTGATTGAAAAAGTATAATCAATTTTAGAATTATGGGCAACACAACAAACGGAGAATATTGATCGAGAAAAAAACAAAGATCGTTATGTACGAACAACTTTACGCGAATTAGGTGTTTATATAGCATTTATCGTTGTATTATCGATAAGTAAGTTAAGGGAGGTTCTCCCATCCAGATTTTTTGCTCAGTTTTTAGACCACACTTTGAAACCTAGGAATAAACATTTTTTTCATTTCCCGGGAATTTTTACAGAAAAAATTCTCAACTTACTTAGTGGCTTTTTGTCCATTCTTTAAAATTTCTATAGAATTTTTGTTTTCAAGGTGAAACGCTAATTCTTGCTATAGTCGTTCGGGTACATTGAGATGTACCCCATAAAAAATATTTCATTGTTTTCTGACGCAGTTTGACTGAGATATTTGAGTTTGACCCGGTCAATTCACTTTAGGAGCAAAAAGTATTTCTGAAAAACCTTGAACACGATTTCGCTTCTCGGAAGTATTTTGAAACAAATGTTTCGTTACAAATGTTGTTCAAAACCAAATTTTACACCAGATGAGCAGAGGAAATTTTGAAATCGAAATTTACGAAAAAGTTGCCCATTAAAAACAGTGTTTTGGGATTTTAAAATCGAGTTTTCAAGATTTCAAAATTTCCTCTGCTCATCTAGTGTAAAATTTAGTTCTGAACAACATTTGTTCCAAAATACTTTCCAGAAGCGAAATCGTACTCCAGGTTTTTCAGAAATACTTTTTGCTCATAAAGTGAATTGACCGGGTCAAACTCAAATATCTCAGTCAAACTGCGTNGAACAGGATTATTGTTATACCATGTTTCACTAAATAATCCAGGAATACCAATATCTCAGTCAAACTGCGTCAGAAAACAATGAAAATTTTTTTTACGGGGTACATCTCAATGTACCCGAACGACTATAGCAAGAATTAGCGTTTCACCACAAAAACAAAAATTCTATAGAAATTTTTTTTTCTGTAAAAGCTTGAACTCTGAGAAAGGAGAAAAATCTTGATTCCTAGGTTTCAAAGTGTGATCTAAAAACTGAGGAAAAAATCTGGATAGGAGGAATTAAATATAAATATATGCTTTAGTTACATTTGGTATGATAACAACAAATATGTATTATTTAACAACGATGATGAATAATCTATTTATTGGTCCCACACTCGTCGATAGTACAACAAATTTAACAGGACCATCATTTGAAACATTAAACAAAATGGAAGATTTTTGGCCGGTAGAAATTTTATTATTATGGTTAAAAAAGCTTCATCTAATATATTTTTTTTCTTTCTAGTACATGGAAGATATTGGTATTCCTGGATTATTTAGTGAAACATGGTATAACAATAATCCTGTTCGTGACTATGGATATCTTTTATATGATAATAAATTACTTGGTGTTGCTCAATTACGTCAAAAAAAGGTTTTCTCATATATTTGACTGTTCGAGACGATGTTTATTCGATAACGCTTTTTCTTTTTTCTGTTTTTATCGATAGGTGCGAAATAATTCATGTTCAGTAGCTGCTGATTTTAAACAAGAAATCAAATTTTGTTACAGTACATATGCACCAGGATTAGAAGATAAATATTCATTTGGACCATGTGAAAATATTCCCACCGGAAACTGTTCAAATTCATCGTAAATAATTTTGAAAATAGTCTAGTTTATGATAGAATAAAAATTATTTCTAATTTTTTTTAATTAGATTTGAATATTCGTCAAAAAATCAATTGTTTAGTCTTAATACCGAAGGTTTAGTGAGCGTTTATGATGATGGTGGTTTTATTCAAACATTAGATGATACACAAGAAAAATCACTAGAAATTCTTTCATATTTAAAAGCAAATCTTTGGTTAACAAGAGGAACAAGAGCCGTTTTCCTTGATTTCACAATTTATAATGCAAATATTAATTTATTTTGTCAAATTCGGTAAATAATATATCTCAATACATTTTTCTTTAATTTCTAATATAATATCTCTGATATTTATAGGTTAATATTTGAATTTCCAGCTGTTGGTGGAATGTTAACATCATCAGTATTTCGAGCTGTTAAACTTATTCGTTATGTCACAGTATTCGATTATTTTATAATGGCTTGTGAAATTTTATTTGTTCTCTTCGTTCTATATTATACCATTGAAGAAATCATTGAAGTATATTTTCTATATCTTAACTATTTTTCATTTTTCTATTTATATTTTTTACATATTTTTTATATTTTAGATTTCAAATTTAAAAATGGCTTATTTTAAATCGATATGGAGTTGTTTGGATATTATTATTATTCTAATGTCCTATGTATGCATTATATTCAATATTTATCGTCAATTTCAAGTAAATAATTTATTAGATAATTTATTATTAAAACAAGATCAATTCAATGATTTCAATTTTCTATGTTATTGGCAATGGCAATATAATAATATTGTTGGTGTTTGTGTATTTTTGGCATGGATTAAGGTTCGTTAATTGACTAATAAAAATCTATATTTAATATAGAATAATTTAAAAGTTTTCTATAAAAAAAAAAGAAGAAAATCTATATATATTATTCTAGTATTAACTTTTAAAAATGATTTTTTTATTTTAAATATTTTAGATTTTTAAATATATTAGTTTTAATAAGACAATGACACAATTAAGTGAAACATTAAGCAAATGTGCAAGAGATATATCTGGTTTTGCTGTGATGTTTTTCATTATATTTTTTGCTTATGCTCAATTGGGCTATTTAACATTTGGTACACAAGTAAATGGTTTTCGAGCATTTCAATATTCAGTGTAAGTTATTTAATTTTAAATTTTTTATGTATAATAGTGTTTATCTTTGTTTTTGCATTTTAGTTATACATTGTTTTTAACTATCATGGGCATATTTGATTTTCATTCGTTACAACAAGCACATCGTATGATTTTAGTATAAATTATCTTTCAAATTAAAAATATTATTTTATTTTATCTCTAGGTGTATTGGGGCCATTATTTTTTCTATCCTACGTATTTTTTGTCTTTTTTGTCTTATTAAATATGTTTTTGGCTATTATTAATGATACATATGCCGAAGTGAAAGAAGAATTACGTAATGCTAAAAATGAATTTGAAATAAGTGATTATGTTAAACAAGGTTATGCAAAAATGCGTGATCGTTTGAAATTAAAACATGATCGTATCTCAGATATAAGAAAAGCATTATCAATGGCTGATTTAAATCGTGATAAACGTCTGGAATTTGATGAATGGCGAACAGAATTAAAGGTAATATTCTATATCTCATCAGTTTGCTATTTTATTCAAGAATTTTTGAATGTTTTTTTTTCTTCGTTTTATAGTCACGTGGATATGCTGAAGAAGAAATTGAAAATATGTTTGCAAAATATGATTCTAATGGTGATCGAGTATTGGATGAACATGAACAACGAGCATTAGCAAATGATTTACTTCGTCAAAATGATGAAATATTACGAGAAATGGAAGAATTAAATCAAACAACCAAGAAAAAGTAAAATAATTTAAATTTAATTGTTAGTTGATAATAAAATAACTTATATATTACGTAGTGTTCCTGTTAATAACGTAAATGAAGAGGAAAATGAAAGAATTCCAAGTGCACCACGTTTACAAGCTCATGACGTATCGTTCGATGAATACAATGCTTTAGCACAACGCCTTGATACAATGGAAAAAGCTGTTGGAACGGTTCTCACAAGAGTAAGTAAATAGTAAAAGAAATTCATATAATATTAGTCAAAAACATTTTTATACTACAGGTTGATGCTGTTGCAACAAAAATGCATGTGCTGGAAAAGGATCATGTTAATGAACAAAATCAATTGAAATCCAATCTGGTATGAATAAATAACTATAATAAAATATGAAAAATATATTTAAATTTATCTTTTTTCAGAATAGTTTTGATGATGAATCTGATTCACCACGAGCAGCTAGTGGTAAAGATTTACAATTTAATCCTGTAAGTTGATTAAATACATTACATGTTGTTGTTGTTTTTTATAACTAACTATCATATTATTGTAGGGCCAATCGCATGCATGAGACAAATATTTAATAATTTGTGAAAAATTATTTCCCGTGAAACTTGATGAACTACATTATTATTTATACTTGTTGTGAAGTGAAAGATTTTTGTGATTTCTACAGAAACATTCATTGTAAATTTTCAAATTAATCTTGTCTGTTGTATGTGTTGTGCGTACCATCTAATTATTTATTGAACATTAAATATACATCCTGAAAGAAGGCATCCAAGATGCAAGAATGTAAAAGTATTTGTCCTATTGTTTAACTATCAAAATGAGTATGAAAAGTTTCGCATGAAGGTTTTAATTTAGCTATGAAAATTTATGCAATATGTCAACAACAATACGGATAGTATTTGTGTGCTTAGTACATTACTGAAATGATCTATTATTTGCGGATAAAAAGTCTTATTCTAACAAGATAACCTTTTGAAAATCCATGTTAAGTTTTCTAAAATGAAATCTTGTTCTAAGATCTACAGTTTTCAGTTTCTGAAAGTAGACACTTGTATGAGGGATATATTTATAGGAAAGTATCTTTTCCTTGTAATGTTTGATTCTATTGGCCGCTCTGGTTGGGACAACCTGCAGAATATGTGTCTCATCGATCGTTTTTGAAGTGGCTGCCTTTTCTGAGATTTCCATTGATTTTTTCTGCTGATAAGTAGATTCAAATGAGGAATGTCTGATTACGCAAATGTAGACTCGTCAGCACCTTCCGTTCAGGAACTATAAGGAGTTTACTGAGTGTTCGGCAAGAGATGCTTTTTAGCTTACTTGCTACAGAACTATAAACAAGTCAAAAAAGAGGTTATCGACCATCCTGAATCTCATGGCAATGTTTGTTTTCAGTTTAGTAGTCTACTGGAAACCTATCTTAATGTAGAAAAGTGCGTAATGTATACCTTTTTGAAAAAACAATGGTCTTTATCCCCATTAACTCTTTGTAGTAAAAGTCTTCGATCAGATAAATTTGTGAAGTTGCTAGGCGTTACATGGTCTCATAACTTCAAGAAATATCAGATTAATAAAGTCAGTGCACGCTGCAGATAGATGCTAGGAGCAATGAGACGAACTTTCGCAGTGGCTCCTTCTTCACTGCGTCTTCACATTTACAAAAACTACATTCTTCTCATCATGGATTACTGCTTGAACTCCTTGATTTAAGTCAGAGAAGAAAATATTTTCGTTTAACATATTTACATAAAACTATGACAGATAAAAGTGCGCTTTTCTACTTTAATCTATTTGAACAATTCACCGCTCCGGTGATAACCACTATCGACGGAAAATATTTTCTGCTTTTGGTTTCTAACAACTACATGTAACGGCTGGAACAGTTTACCAAGCAGTATAGTACCTTCTTTCAACTCTCAATCCTTTAAAACAGTTGTAAAAAAGCATCTTAATCTCGAATAGAACATGGATTTTTAGTGTTTACCTTGCTTTTTATTGTTATTTATACTTATTGTTTGCATATAAAGTCGTTCGTACCTCAAAAGCTATTGTGATTTGTACCTTTTTTCTTCTTTGTCTGATCGTTTATTTTTGTCTTTTATACCATCTCACTTGGTGCTAAATATTCTTAAGCATTAACCATTTTTGTAGTATACTAGCTTCATCAGGTGGAATATACTTTTATTTTAGCATTACTATTAGATGAAATAGCGCATTTTTATTTTCAGTGGAAATTGAAACATTCATAACTCAGTCAAAATCAATCAAAACTACTTGAAAATATTAAGCTACATTCTGTTCCATCGGTTCAATCTGATCATATAGTAACATTAATAAAAATTTGTTTTTTTTACTTTGAAAAATTCTGGAAAATCTTTCTAAAAAATTTGTTTTCTGAAGTCTTCAGAATGTTTACTAAACGTCATGTTACAGTGTAAGCAAAACAGAGTGTCTCTTGATGTTCTAAAGTAGTTTACTGAGTTTCAGATGTTTAATTTTACTTTCTTCAAGTGTCTACTTTTAGACGTTAAAAGCCGTAGATCTTCATCAGCTTTCTGAAATGGCATATTCAAAAAACCCAAAAAGTCTAGTCTGTTTTGAAATGGATGATATATTCATGTCCATCGTAAATAACTTTTTTATTTCGTGTATATTCATGCTTTATATTCCTCTAGCATATTTTTGTATATCTGTCTATAGCAACGTATTACATTTCTAAAATGTGTTGTATTAACTTTTTTGTTTCGATGTTGTTTTCAGATGATATGCATTAAGTATTATTCGTCTTTTAGCCATATATTGGTTCTAATTTATTTATTAGTTTTTTATTTCAATTTAATATGTTCAACGAACGTTTGCCTTCTTATAAATACACGTATGTCTGGTTTTCATCAAATATTTTTACTTATTGCAAAATTGAACGAACCAGTACAGTTCTATTGCTCGAGTCATAATGTAAAATCAAAATCAAATATGTCATCTGTCTATGTTAATATTTACGGTCTTGATTTAATAAAACAACGGGAACAACAAAATTTTGTTGATGGTAACAATATTCCGTTGATTGTTCTCATGTACGAACAATTTCAAACGGATTTAAGTGTATTTCACAATAATTCTTATTTAGCTGAATGTAAAATAACTCTTTCGTACCCTATGATAACAACTAGTGTGGATAGTTCTTCAAGCGACTTATTGGCATTTATTGAACAAATAATTAATGAATTTCAATTACTTCTAACATGTTTATCATCCGATGAGAATATTCTTGACTTTAATTCACCAACATTTGCATCGTCAACGGAAAATGATGGTGATACCGATACGAATCTATTTCAGACATCGGCACCTTTTCGTCAGGGATACGTAGCAAAAAAAACATTTTATTCTATCAGAATAGTGCCATCACCTCTGATACATAAACGTTGCCGATGTGAATTTACAACTAGTAAAGTTATTAAAATAACATCTACCAGTAAACATTTCATATTAGAAAAATATTTTGGGTTAAATCAAACAAATGATTTACATCGAACGAGTATTGCTGCTGCTTCTAAGATGCTTTCATTCATAGGTTGGCCAAACTGGTTCATAATCCTTCTAGTTTTATTATTAGGACTTTTGCTCTATTATTGTACATGTTTAAAGAAAAATCCACCATGTCAGCGACTATCGATGTTAATACAATGTCCTACACAACACGCATCACCTCCTCAACCACAACTACGAAACACATTATCGAAAACAATTCAGTCCAGTGATAGATTTCCAAGAAAACCAATTTCAGCAGAGAATTCAGTATCGTCAAAAGATACAGCAACAACGACGACGTCATCATCATCGATAATAACGGAACATAAATCAATAATTATTAAAGATCGACCAACATCAACCCATCTATGTCCAAAACAGCATGTATTTAATCAACCATGTTTTATCAGACCCTTAGGTCTTTCACTTAAAACATCCACTCAACAGAAACAGCAACAACTGTACAATTCTCCTCAACCAGCATTTTATCTTGCTGTGCCGCGTCAAACATTCAAACAAACATCAACGAGAGGTACATCATATCATCATCAACCAAGATAAGAGAAAAAATATGTCCAAAGATAATAAAAATATGTCCAGAGAAATATGTCCAGAGAAATATGTCCAGAGAAATATGTCCAAAAGCTAGAAAACCACTTTGTTCTTATAGCAACGTATGTTCAACAGGATAAATTTTATCGATTTGCTAAATGATGAAGAGATACAGGTGATTTAATACTAAAAAAAGTCAATTGACATTGTGGAAAAAGGAAACACATTTACATTTCTCTGGGGACCAGATTGCTTGTTTCAAACTATTTTCACCAAGCAGTAATCATACTGGCAAGAACAAAGAATTATTCCTTTGAGTATTTTATGTCGCGTTAAATTGTTGCTTATTTCTCTCTTCTTTATACATTGTCCGTTCTTATCATCATCAATTAACTTTTTTCACAACTGAGAGTTTTTACAGATATATTCACCATGAGAGAGAAGTGTTTTTAAATTAAGCACACTACAATTTTCCTGTTGTAATATAAGTTTTGTTTTGTTGTGTGCTATAGAATAAATTATAAAATTAATATTCTTTGTATCTCATGCATACATGCAATATTGTCGCGAGTAATGAAGGCACGTTAGGTATCTACAAAAAATTTCATCAAAACTATCGAATAAGAGTATCTATAAAAATCGAAATATTCGGAGTCATTCTGAAACGTTTTATAAAACAACTCCCATCAAACCCGATGTCTATATTTTTACTGGTTTTCTGTGCATTCCTCTGTTACTGGCGATGAAAACTGTCGTAGAATGAATGCAATTTAATAAAATAAATGTTATACTGAGTTCGGAGATGTTTTGTTTACAAATATCTGGTCGTTACGTTTACGTTGATTTAAAAAGCATTTCAAAATAGTCCGGGTACTCCGACTTTTAGAGATACCCTGGTCCAATAGCTTTGATGAAATTTGCGTACCTACCCTAATAGGAAATTCTTCCACCTACTCAACATCTTTCATTAGATTTGTTCAAATTATCTTGATCGAGGGAAACAGTCGGCATACTTTTTCCCAGGACTACACTAGCAAAAGAAAGTGTCTTGATAAACCACCTTGATGGCTACAAAATCCGCGCGTAATGAAGACACGTTAGGTGCATTTTCTCGTCTTTTTTACTGTTAGTCACCCTGATGTATTGACAAAACACCTCTAAATTGTTACTTTGTTTTGATAAAAATAGCTTATGGGGGAACCTGTTTAGGTGTCCAATCCCATTTTCCATGGTTTATATCGACAGACAATAGGCAGCTAGTAAAAACCTTAAAGGGGTTCGGGTTCATGGCGCTTCTTTCAAAAATTACGGAGATTTTCGTCTTTTTGGTTAAGAAAGCACGGCGAAATTTAGAATTCTATAACTGTCGTAAAAAAGCAGAGAAGAGGCCAATTCTATTTCCATGACTCCACTAGTTGTCTCTGATATCGACATAAAGTTTCAGCATTCCAGCTTGTTTCATTCGCGACTTATTGAATTCTCGAGTTTTCCACAGGTTTGCCCTTGGATACGCTCACATTGGAAGAGCTACACAAATGTTTTTTACGCAAGCGATTGGAATTTTAGAACAAAGATGGTTCCGAAGTCTTATTCTTATTTAAAAAAGAAAAAGCCTGACTCTAACCTGATCATGAATTATGGGATCTT